ACGTACTTTGTATATGAAATGTTTTGAACCATTTCCTCTTCTGTACTTTATATATATTCTATATTACCCTATGCCCTCTCCTATTTTCAAGAGTAGTTTTTATCATTTATTCAAGCCGTTAATGTCGTTAGAAACAATTTCAAATAATTTATGGTACGTCTCTGAAGTTTTGAAAAATCACTCTCTAATTTAAAAAATTTATGTTAGCTTTGCGCAGAACTCCCAAAAGTTCATGGCTGTTATGTGAAACATACCCAGAAATGGATATCACAAGCCGTTAAAAAGCAACAGAACTCTACGTAAAACAGATAGTAAGTTTCAATGTTGGAAGCAACCTTCTTCCAGGACCATATATTCCTCCCAATCGGAATACGTAAACAGGCACCCCAAGTTCATGCCCCAAATCTAGCCATCCTTTCTCAGCTGCAACTCTTGACTTAGCAGATTCAGTTTTAGGGTTTACTGGATAGCTGCATTCATAAAAGGATGCTTACTACATTATCATGAATTTTGTTAATATACAAGATCGAATCAAAGAGAAATTAGATTCTACTCCTCGGACACCAAGGTTCCACCACAATCTCCATAGACACCTGCCAAGTCAAGAAGAAGATAATTACTCTTTCAAAACGAACATATTGGCTTATGACACATAATGCAATTAATACAAATATAATAGGTTGCACTCTTACAAAGAATTGCTAAAGCTAAAATAATTAAGGTTGGATTAAACATAAGGATGTTTTGGCATCCAAGTTGTGCAAGTATAGGGCCACGTTTCATCGGGATTCGAGTTGTATGATCCAGATCAGAACATTATGATAAAAAAAAAATTGTATCTTATGTTTACCAGCCCTATTTGAATAAGTGGGGCATTGAGCTTATGAGAAATTTATTTCAACTTCCAAGTAGGGATTTATTAGATTCCAATAACACAACCTATATGTTAGATCAAAGTATGCTTTATGTATATGTTAGATCAAAGTATGCTTTATGATCCCTTCAGGAAGAAAACATGGGACTCCTTACACGAGAAGAAAAAAGATAACCATCAACATGACCAATCAAGAGCGCATAGTAAACACTAAACTGAAAACAACTTTGTAATAAACAAAATACCAACAAGCTAAAATTGCAGAAGAACAAGCATTATGAGTAGATAACTTGAGGACCTACCTGTTGTGGATAGATAACACAAATATTCAAGATTCCCAGAAGTCAATAGATTTTGCAGGTCTTTATGCAAACAAAGCAACTGCAAGAGAAATTTCACACAAACATGAAAAATGTGGTGTTAGATTAATGGCCACCTGATAGAGTAAGTCCAATAATATACAATGAGCTGTCTGAAATCAAATTGGGAAGAAGATTTTGGTGAACTTACAGGATCACCAATGCCTGCAATAGGAGGAATGGAGATGAGAAGATGGGTTGCATTTCGCAAGGTAGGAATACTTTCCAATCTAAAAAGGCATTACAAAAAAAATGAATTACAAAAGTTTTAGACGTCCAGTTTGAAGTTTGACTTCCCTCGGTGGTGAGAAGCTAAATAAGGAAATGAGTCAAACAGCACTATAAAGCGAATAGAAGCTCCTTGTCTGCCAAGAAGCACATGCATGGGTGCCCATGCAAATATTATCAATGTAGGAAAAATGAGGTAATAAAAAAATAAAGAGATTGTACTATATACACAGGCAGTTCATTCATTAATGCACACGGAATTAAGGTAAATATACTATGTTATTAGTATTACAAGTTAAAAATCATCCGGTTTCAAAGTACATCCAAACATATTGTGTGAAGACATTATTGAGTTGTAAAGCTAAAACCAGAAGTTTAGCAGAGTTCAATAGAAGATAAAATTAGGATAGTTGAGAAATAACTAATGAAAATAATGTGATTATGTGGTGAAGATATTAAGTAACTTGTAAAGCACAAACCAGAACATCAGCAGAGTTCAACAGAAGATGAAAATTCAAATAGTTTAGAAACAATTAATTGAAAATAATATGAACAAAGAAAGAATCCATCATTCAGGATCACACGTTATTTAATCTCTAATAAGAAACAATAGAAGGAAATATAAATGCATAATTTACCTGAGCATATAATCTCCAGTAAGAAACAACTAATCTCTCAAAGCAAAGTGATATTTCTGCTTAAAGATTCTTACCATTTGACCTCAGTAGTTAGACCTCCAACAAAAAAGAAAAAAAAAATCATATTGAACTTATTTGCAGTTCATAATAGAAATAACTGGCCGGACAAAGATTCTGAATAAATATCATAATTATAACAAACTCCTCATGCAACGCAGAGAACTATTTTAAGTATACACCAAAGAATATCAACATACTTGCTTTTATGTGCATCAAAAACATATGCATCCAAGCCCATCTCCTCAAGTTCTCTTTTCCTAATAGCACTTGTGCAAGTCCCAACAATTTCCCTATAATGAAAAAGAAGAAATTAACCTCCTACCGGGTATTCTTTTCCCCTTCTTTAGTCCCTTTTTTGAGTCAACCTCTAGATCTCGAACACAAGAAAATGACTACTTATCTCCACGATCCAAGAAATTCTTTTTTCAAAATTGCATCTTGTCCTGGTTTCCTATAAAATAAGTGTTTAAAAGCAGCACTTGTTCTACGCAAATTTGGTGCGGCCCAAAGTTTTCTTTTATTTATTTATTTAAATAACCGCAGAACATACGTCCATGGAAGTTACCAACTAAAGAAAATAAATTCACAATGTACGTGAAAAGGAAGAGAAAAGAAGGGAGAAATACATTAGGAAGAAGAAACAAATAAATGCAGGCTTCCGAATCAAGGTGTCAGGCCGCTCCTAGTGGATTGGCTACTCTCTCGTAAGACGATGTTGTCATGCAAAGAGTATTTGCATCTCAAAGTTTATTCTGAAACACTCTCATTCTGTTCTTTCAAATACGAAGTAACAGACAACAACGACACTAATGTGGCTTATAAGCTGTATGTAAGCTAAAATAAGTTGTTTGCCAAACATGTCTCGATGGCTTATAAGCCACTTTGCCCCGTTGCCAAACATGCTCTAAGGAGGTGCAATGAGATGTTATACTGTCCCAAAATGCTACATTCTACGGTTGAAGTAAACTGGAACAGTAATCCGCAAGAAGATAAACCCAACACCTAAATTCAGCAAAAATAAATACTCTATAGTTGAATTTAACTTCAATCTATAACATACATTTCAAAGAAAAATGACCAAATGCGTCCATATAATTGATAGGAATAAAAAAAGAACTTTTCTCCTAATTTCACCTAAATTTTGCAAAATAAATCCTCCAAATAATCCATAAGATAAAAATAATCAAATGGACAAGAAGCGAAGTTGTCCCTAAAAAAGTCAGTTTTTTTTTTCCCCGCAAAGCTCCGAAGAAAGTAAACAGGAAACAAAAAATACTAAAAAAGGGATTAGCTTTGTTACCATCCTTCTTTCTTCAACAGATTCGATACGTATCGGCCGACGAATCCCAATCCGAAGACGAACAACCGGTTGCCTCGAGATTCGGATCTCACGGCCACCACCGGAGACGTCACCGGCCTGCATCGAGCTTTTGTTTGGCAGCAGCAAAATGAAAATAAGTGACAGTGACCGAATTTTTTTTTTTTTTTTGTTTTTTTGTTTGGGGGGATAGATAAATAGTTCTAACTTTCCGTGGGGCTACAAGAAGTCAAAGGACCTCGTAAAAATTTTTACAAGGAAGGGGGTCTAACTGCAGTTTACCATTTCTTGAAGCTAAAAGGGATCAATCATAAATCTAGGGTTTCTAAGCTCGGAGACGCGGTGAATCGAAGTGAAGTAATTGCGCAAAGAGCCAAGCTTTTATTTACGGGTGCGCGCTTTCGTTCTTGACTTGATTTGCTAAATTTGATCGAATCTAATCATAGCTTTGTTTAGTTCTCATTTTCATGTAATCGTTGAGCTTAAAGTCAGGATTTGAGAGCTCTTTTTTAAATTCTAATTTTAGTTTCTAAAGCTTGATTTCTAGAATCCGGTCAATGATATTTACTTAGGATTATCTCAGGAATCTACAAAATTTTGTAAGTGATGATAGATAATTTGTAAGTTCTTGAAGTAAATGGTCTGTTCATCTTTACAACAAATCTAGTGAAGGCACTTTCAGTTCAAGAGAGGTGAAGTCAAGCATACATATCAAGGGTAAATTATGGCAAACCCCCTTCATCTATACATAGTTTTTCAAGAAACTCTTTCAATTATTAAGTTCCACCCAAAAAAAAAGAAACCCCTCATTTATACCCTATCTTCCAAGAAACCAATTCAGCTATGATATACAGTAGTAAACCCGCTCGACTATACCAAATTATTCAAGAAACCCCCTCATCTATATGAGTTAAACAAAAAAAACACCCTCATCTATGTGGAAATGTGTACATTCATAATGTAAGAGCAAGTGCATCAAGCTCCCAGTTGGGAGTCCTAGTCAGCAAGCTCTCAAGAGCTCTCAAGCAATTTAGAATTAAAAATTAAAAAAATAAGTCTTAGGAGGTCATTCTTCTTCTATGGAGCTCCAACAAGCTTCTAGTTAGGAGCTTCAACAATATCAAAAAAACCCCTCTTCTTTTTAAATATTTTATTCATTACTTTTAATTATATTTAAATCTTTTGTATTTTTTTCCTAACCGTTGGGATACGGCCTTCGAGGTAGCGCACACGGTCTTCGAGGTAACTCACGGTCTTCGAGGTTGGGCACGAAGTTCGAGGCATCGTAAACTTTGACCGTCAACCGACTGATTCCTATAAAATTTGATGCCTTCTCTCCTCAACCCATCATCCCCCAGAACAAAATGTCTAGCTCATCTAGCTCTAGCGATGATGAAATGATGAAGACGTTCTTTCTTATGGGAGCTGCTGTCGTTGAGGAAGAAGTACAGGAGAAATGTTCAACTCCAGTTCAACATAAAAGATGTATCGTGCTCCATCAAAACCGATTGGAAGGCCACAATCGGTTGTTCCAAGATTATTTTGCTGACGCACCAACCTATCATCTTCATTATTTTCGTCGAAGATTCAGAATGACGCGTTCGTTATTCCTTCGAATCCACGACGCAGTCGTCGAACATGACAAGTACTTCATCCAAAAGAGGAATGGTGCTGGACAGTTGGGACTATCCAGTCTTCAAAAGATTACTACAGCTATGCGGATGCTCGCATATGGAACATCCGCTGACTCCGTTGACGACTACGTTCGGATCGGTAAAAGTACGTCGCTTGAGAGCGTGAAGAGGTTCGTTCGATCAATTATCAACATCTTTGGAGAGGAATACCTTCATTCACCGACTACTGAAGACGTTGCACGCCTGCTCGAGGAAGGTTCACAACGAGGTTTTCCTGATATGCTTGGGAGCATCGACTGCATGCACTGGACATGGAAGAACTGTCCAACTGCCTGGCAAAGTATGTATACTGGACATTTTTATGAACCTACAATTATTTTGAAGGCTGTAGCTAGCAAAGATCTTTGGATATGGCATGTCTTCTTTGGACTGCCGGGGTCTCACAATGATCTTAATGTTCTACATCGTTCACCGGTATTCGCACAACTTGCGGAGGGAAGAGCTTCACCGTGCAACTATACTGTCAATGGCCACGAGTATAATATGGACTTGCGGAGGGAAGAGCTTCACCGTGCAACTATACTGTCAATGGCCACGAGTATAATATGGGATACTACCTCACCGACGGGATTTACCCAGAGTGGTCCACATTAGTGAAGACTATTCCAGCACCTCGAGGAAACAAGCATAAGTACTTTGCCCAACAACAAGAAAGCGCAAGAAAAGATGTTGAGCGAGCTTTTTGCATGTTGCAAGCTCGATTTGCGATTGTTCGTGGATCAGGACGTTTCTGGCAACCTTGTGTGCTGAAAGACATCATGACAGCTTGCATCATAATACATAACATGATCGTTGAAGATGAACGAGATTGTCAATTGGACAACAACTTCGACTTTACTGATTCGGTACCAGTCGTTAAACCTTCTCATGTGCAGACGGTGCCTCTAACTGAATTCATCCAAAATCATCATCGGATCAGGAACACGCAAACACACAAATCACTAAAAAATGATTTGATCGAGCATTTGTGGCAGCTCAAGGGATCCATCGCCGAGGATTAAGTTTCTTTATGTCTAATGTAATTTTAGAAAAGGAGTTCAAGTTCTTGTACTACGCCAATTTTATTTTTAATAAAGTAGTTGTTTTCATTCAATGCCAAATTTTTCAACTTCAAGTACAATCATAAATCTAATACAATATAATATTTGATAATTAGGAAGAACTAATAAGGATGCGATGCGAGTACAATATATAATAATTAGGAAGAACCCTTAGACATCCACCTCTCCAATATCTCTGCCTGACGCATTTCAAAATATTGTCGTTGAACTAAATTGAGTGTTGAGAGATCCATCTTCATGATATCGTCATCTTGTTTCTTCTGTTTTAGCTCTATTTTTTGATTGGTGGTTTGCTTCATCCATGTGAAAGCCTCTCCCATGATGGACTTAGTGGACTCAGAGTTTTCCACATTTTGTTTCCTCTTGAGCTTTGCCGCTTTCCTCCCTTCAGGCCTTGCTATAACATCATCCGAGTCAGTGTTCAACTCGATGGGGGTCGCTGGCATGGAATTGTTTGGTGAGGAATCAGAGGTTGTGGTTCTTCTCGGTTGTGATCGAATCTTATTGTAAGTTTTCATTTGTTGGATCCACTTTTGATGATATCGAATCTTATTGTAAGTTTTCATTTGTTGGATCCACTTTTGATGATGACGCAACTCAACCCAGCAATTGTCAAACACGAATGGCTTACCATAAAGAGATTGGTATAATTCTTTTACTTTTGCAGTCTACACAAGAGTTAAATTTAGAATAATCAAACATATAAGATAAATATTTACATAAAAATATATAAGTTAAATATTTACATAAAAACATATAAGTTAAATATTTACCTGGTCAATAATTCCCGTACCAGATCTTTGTTTTCCTTCAATCTGAGCAACGAACCCGCAGAACTTGTTGACAGACAGTTGAATTGTTGACCAACGGTGCATCATTTGGTTTGGTATGCGGCTCGTTGGATCGGTGGAGTATTGGATAAAGTAGTCGTTAGCTCTGTGTCAAAACTTATCTTTGTGTTGCCCCGTACCTTGGATGGCGTCTTGGCTCGTGTTCAGCCAAGCAGACACAAGAAGCTTATCCTCGTGGACAGTCCAATTTTCGGACCGCGTGTAAGCCTTCTTCTTCTTTGTGGTCGGTGTTTCTTGGGATGACACTTGTTGTGTTGCGGATTGCGAGAACTCGATGGGATACTCTTCTTCTACGACTTCTGTATAGAACGGCAAGTATAAGGTCGATCTTTTACCGGTCAGGAGTTACGAATAGTAGTTGTTTTGGGAGGGATCCATGAGATTTGTAATTTGATAGGAGAAAATAGAGTTTTTTTTATGATAGAGTTGTGTGGAATGATTTGTGTAGTGAATTGTGAATTTATAAAGTTTTTTTTACTGTTCAACGACATTATTTTTCAACTCAACGGTCATTTTTCAACGTTCATTTTCCTAACTCAACGGTCATTTTTCAACATATCATGCTCATTTATTTCATTTATCTTCAACGTATCATTTTCAATGACATCATTTTCAAGGACATTACTCTTGTGCAGCCAATTAAAAAAAAACTTAGCAAAATAATCTGTCCTTATCTTCACTCCCCAACCGTCGTTATCTTCATCTCCCCAACCAAGATAATCCGTCATTATCTTCATCTCCCCATCCGTCGCCCCAAATATTCATCTCCCTAACCAAGCGCCGCCCCAAATCTTCATCACACCCCAAATCTTCAACTCAGCAGAAAACCCAGTCCTCTTCATCTCCGTCGCCCCAAACCCAGGCCTCTTCATCTCCCCAACCGAGCTCCGCCGTCGAATCAAACCCTCTCCCTTCTTCAACTCTGCAATTGTGTACTTGTGGGGGGGTTCTCAAATTTCTTCCCAGTTGAGAGCTCCCAACAGCCACGTCAGCCTAAGGAGCCCCGCTTAGGAGCGGTTAGAAGCTTGCTGGAGGGGGGCTGCCAACTTCCACGGCCACGTCAGCCTTGAGAGCAGAGATCAGAGTTTGTTGCCCTTGCTCTAATGCAACTCTCCTCCTCTATGAGTTAAACCATGCATTGAGCTTTTTTTCGGTTAAACTTAATACATGAAGGTGTTTATTTGAAAAAAAAGAGATGGAGATTAAGGGGGTTTCTTGTAATTTACCCTATAATTTAACGTGATAGTTTCCTACTCATTGGAGATCTTCTCAGCAGAGATTTTAGAAGAATAGTGCTTTATTAAATAGGGCTGAAAGAGGACAGTTGATTGGTACATATGAATTGTAAAGATAAGAATAATAGAGAAGGAGAACATGGTTGGTAAGCAACTTTGTAGGCAAACTTTCGGAAATCCCATATAACATTAAAATGGATGATGCTACATTGATAAGCAACTTTGTAGGCAAAAAATGCTTTTAACTTTGGGGACATCTCGGTGGCATCCCAGGAAAATTACCTAAGAATTTTAGCAAACACAAGCATAAAGTGGTAATAATAGAAATGTCGATGCTGTTGAGCAATGAAATGAAGAAAGCAAGCACAAAACATCAATACGTTGATGAAACATAAACTTACATTCTTTGATCACAGTATTTACGGGCAAATGGTCTAATAATTATTATACACAAAGCTTACTCTTGGGATTAAGGCGCCTATCATCTGGCTCGTCTCTCTTGGGTTTTCTTTGATGCGAAGGATATCTATTGCAGATAATACATCCTCCTCGAATGTAATCTTTTATATGAGTATTTTAAACATAGAATATCAAAATTGAGAAATGTAGCTTATATTGTATCACCTGTAGTTAGCACATGTTATTTGTCCAATTTATACTATTAGTAAGGCAGCACTTGACTGATATTCCCCAAATCTGACTTATATTAGCTTAATTAGCTTAAACATCAAACGGAATAAATATGAGAGCATATGTGATATATGACTTTCTTTGGAAAACATAAAAGAAAATGTGAAGAGTAAAAGGGGAAAAAAAGATGGTTGAAGCTTTCTAGCACTAACATTTGATTTTAGTAGAAAAGTTTTCTTCAAATATTATTGGTTAAAATCCAAATTATTCGTTAGGAGTTTTAATTGATTTAGAAATCTTTTTAGGACATAATTATTAGTGAAGTTTTGTTGGTACGGTTGGTTTCTTCTTTATTCAGGATTCTTGCTGAATAACTTTTGTACGATTATAACAAACTAATATTTGTTAAATAAATATCTAAAGAGATTATGAGAAAAGTTATGGTTTATTTAAATCATATGGTTCAACCTTGGGTGTAATGCCCTAGATTTTGAAGGTGTGGAATATTGATTATTGTGAAGTTGTTGATCCAGGCATGAGGCCAACTTACGATTGAGGATTGGAGCAAAATAATAGCTATCCCTGAAATGCGGGAATTACCTGCTCCTTTCCCTGCCATATTCAGTTTTTCTTGTGGTTTCAATGTCAAAATATTACTACTCATTACACAATAATGAAGCCATTATTGCAGTTAAGGATGAGCGAGGAAATTGTAACCCATAAGGGTAGATGTCACTGTGGGCTAGTTCGGTGGCAAGCCGAGGCGTCATCAAGTGTAGTTGCATGGAGCTGCAACTGTTCCGACTGTTCCATGAGAGGCAACATCCACTTCATAGTCCCATCCGGCAAATTTAAGCTTTTGGGAAACTCTGAGCAATTTATCACCACGTACACATTTGGGACTCACACCGCAAAGCATACTTTCTGCAAGGTATGTGGCATAACTTCTTTCTACATACCGAGGTCAAATCCCGATGGAGTTGCTGTTACAGTTAGGTGTGTGGAGCCTGGTACGCTTAAACACGTTGAAATTAGATACTTTGATGGTAAAAACTGGGAGAGTGTTTATGAAAAAAGTTCCATATCATCATTTTCTAAATCAGACAGTGGGAGCCTGCAACAAGGATCGTAACTGAATAGGAATTTTCCCAAGTATTGATAATGTTATATCTTCTGGTGTTGATTTGTTGATCATGGATCGCTTTCATAATGTCTAGTGTTTTGGAAATTATCAAGGATATTTTGACTGAAAGTCCATCTGAACATCTTTCAAGAATTTGTGTTAGTCATTTGGATCCCTGGGCAAGTTCTGTTGGCCATTGATGCTTGGAACTATCTCTTGTGTGTAATTGTTATGTTCAGGCATAAGTCAGGTTTACCCAGAACTTCTCACAGGTCCTGGGACAGACAGGCCGGTTCATTTTATCAATAATGAGGTGGCAGGAATAGCAACATAAAAAATGAGTAAGGAGGGACATACGGCCTAACCCTAAAGATCCAATAACTGATCATGACCGAAAGACTCTTCTAAGGCATGTGAAAAGCCAGAAAATTATAGGACTATCCTTGAGGAATACAAAGATAAAAACAGAACATGACATTAGAAGATTCCTACTGAGGTATGGCCTAATCCTAGCTTAAGTCTTTAAGGTTTTTGTGAAAATCACCTTTAAGATTATTGAAAAGAAGATGAAAGGACGTTTTTTTTTTCCATTATGAACATTTTGGTCATTTGGACGCACATGCTTTCACATGTACAATCAGATCTAACAGTCAATTAGGGGGGTTATCTGACAAAACTTAAGTAGTGTCATGGTCAAAATTTTCGGGGGTTATCTGATAAAATTTAAGGGGGGTTAAGTGATATTTTTAAAGCTTACTGCGGTTATCTTTAAGACAACCAACCTTGGAGGATTAGGTAACATTTTAATGTTTTTTTTTTTTGTTGCGGGGTGGGTGGGGGGGGGGGGGGGGTGAAATCTACCCTGAAACTAATGATTGAAGTCTAACCCTGCATTAAGTTTAACATATCTGGTTGATGATTGTTTGTGAAATTTTGGAAAGATTTTTGAATGGCACAGGAGAAAATTGCGTGCAAGTCTCCACACAAGAGGAAACTTTATATTTATGGATTTCAGTAGATGGTTCATTGAATAACATTGGATGTGTTTCTCCCTCTTAGTCTGATTTTTGTGGTGTTGTGATCCTTTAATTTTGGAAAAACAACATTGGAAACTTTGCTTCGAATTGGTTTACTATCGTTATATATATATATATATATATATATATATATATATATATATATATATATATATATATATATATATAATATATATATATTATATTATGAAATTGTACGCTCCAGAACGGATCTAATGATAGCTTAAGACGAAGCCTATGACGTCATGGAGAAATTTATGCAGCATTTGGCACAGTGATGCTTTGAAAGGCTTCATACTCGAGAGAGTAAGCTCAAAAGTGTAGTAGCGTAAGGGTATATACGTTTTCAGTCATATAATTCACTCTGATCACTGCAGATTTCCAGGTGATTTTGTTTTTGATTGCTTGAACAACTAAAATTCCTTAATAAATGTGGAAAGACAATCTCTTCTCTTTTTCAATTATCAGGGAATATTACAGCTAGTAACTATATATTTAGTGAAGAATATTAGAGGAATAACAACATTGGAATATTACTGCTAGTAACTATATAATTATCAGGAATTTAATAGCCAGGTTTTTGAAAGCCAGAAGGGACACAGAGTTGTACTCTGAAGCAAGAGGAATCTTATTCTTCAAGATTAAAAACCTGCCCTCTAAATTTGGGTACAGCTCTTGGTCAAAAGCTGCGCTAATATAAACTTTTTTTTTGTTTCCCACCCTGTTCTCTGACACTAAGAACTTAATCTCCACTTGCTGCCGGTGTCTATTACCTGTGCTTTAAGGATGCTGTTGCTTAGCTTTCATGTTAATGCAAAGGAGAAAGAAGGTCCCCTCTCCCTTGCTCTTCCAATTTTAGCCAATTTGTGATCTCTTTCTAGCTTAGTGTTTAGTTTTTGTTGGGACAAACCTGGGGCCTAATAGAGCAGGGTCGTAGCGAATAGTAGAATAAAAGTAATAAAAAGAACACACAGATTTACGTAGAAAACCATCTAAATGAATTTGGGATAAAAAAAACACGGGCAATGAAAGAAGAATCTACTATGAGAAGAAACTTTAGAGTTACAATCTCTCTTTACAAGAAGAAACTCTCTCTATTTTTCTCTCTATTTTTCTCTCTCACTCTTCTATATGAGTAGTTGTTTCTGAGATGAATTTTTCTTGAAGAGTTTTGGGCCTATTTATAGGCAGCTGAAATCAATATGCACTAATTTTATAATATTATTTTATTGTGCACTTTTTCTCATTTCGAAATATGTGGCTGCTTTCGGTGCGAATTATTTAGCGGGGCCCGCTCACTTTTTCCTTTTTCAAGATTTTCGACTGAGTTTTTACCTAACAACAGAGTGCAAATTCATCGGTAAAAAGAAAAAGATATTGCAGTTTGTTAAATCTCGAACTTAGACGATGATGATTAACATATAAGTTTCTCAGCATAGTGAAGCTGATGCTAAAGTGGCATGTTAGCTTGCTATGGTTTGAATGTCCACATGAAACAGGGTGGCAGCATTAATAAACGTAATGACAACAATTGGTAATCCTCTTCACTGTAACTAGATTGTAGATGGATCACTTCTTCCATTATTATACATTTAATGCACGGTTATGATGTCTCAATTGAAATTAAAAATTAATGCATTTTAGACTCTATTATCATTTGATATATTTGGGATGAACCATTGGCAAATTTCATTGGGATACTCCGCATTATGAGCAAGATGTTCTGATTCGGAGGAGTGTAGGGGGTCAATTTGAGAAATTACACTCCAATTATGGTGTAAGACACCCCCGTTCACATATAAAATATTCTGATAAGATTTGTATTCGTTTAGGAAGTTCTTTAGAGTATTGTTCTTTTTGCCACATAATCTTGTGTAGCCATCACAGGTCAATCCCTTGTCCACACAATCTCTTATACGATAATTCGCCTTGGCCACTAGACGATGATGCAATTTTCCCCAACACCATTGCTTTTGTTTGAAAGAGAAAAAAAAAGGTTACATGTTAATCTCAATTGTTGCAACAACAGTAGAGACAGTGATTAGATCATGGAAAAAGTCGAAAAACTTTATTAGTAATCTATCCCAACTATAGTCGCTGTTACTATCATGACAGCGTGCAGCTCATCTTCCGCATATGCAATGGTTCTCTCTTTTATGGACGTTGCCCAAAGGAAAAGATTTTCTACTGTGGGAGTAGCTATTGCTTTTCATCAGTCTTAAAGGAGTGGTGTTAGGGGCACACCCCCAACCATACCCTCCACCACACCTCTTCTCCCTCTATAGTGCATTGGGTCCCACATCAAATTTTTAAAAAAAATTTGATGTGGGGCCCAATGCACTATAGAGGGAGTGGAGGTGTGGTTGAGATTGTGGTTGAGGGTGTGCCCCTAACATTTCTAAGTCTGAAATTATGAAAACCCCTTTATTTGTATTCCTTTTGTCAGGAAATGCAGGCTTCATTGTCCCCCCTTGAGATAATGACTTCGCGTTGGATTTTTATGGTTATGTAGGAAGCTGTAGACGCACTCCCTAATTAAGCTGAACTCACTGGTAATAGAAAAATATTAATTTTATCCTTAAATATCCTTAATACATCTGATAAATAGTTCTTTAAAATATAGTTTTGTCTTGGAATGAGAAAAGTGTTGGGATTTTTAGATCTCATAAAAACCCCGAAAATCATCAAACGCAGTAAATAGAATCACACGACATTTAACATGGAAAACCCTCAATAAGGAAAAACCACAGGATCAAAATCAATCCACTATCACTTTCAAATTATAATCTTTTACACGGACAAACACTATCAAACCCTCTATCTCATAATACCCTTGAACCCGGCTACACCCTCTATTAAATCCTGATTATAACAATATTGTCTCTCTCCCTCTTTCTACTCTAAGACCCTAGAATATAACGCCTTATTTAAAAACACTCATGACTTGCCCGCTAAGTTAACGTAGCCTCTAAGAAAACTATTAGGACTGGGCTTAGCCTTCAAACCCGCATTAGACTTGGAATTTGAGTCGGTACCCAATATATCCTCCCTTGACGAAAAATCTCCACATGTCTCAACGGCTTCAGAAAAACTCACTCTCTTCTTCTTGTTCTTCAACTCTCCCTTGCGAACAGATCGCTCATCTAAATAGCTAATATGGTTGCTATTTTTTCCCCATCGCAAAATCAAATCACCATCTTTATACACTTTGTACCACTCTCCTTCACCCACTTACTTGTACCCACGCGATGTCATCTCACTCAACGAAATTAAGTTAGCACCACATGACGGTACATATCTCACATGACGAAGAATTCCGACCTTCCCAGTGTGAAGCTTGAGGCGAACGCTCCCAACGCTTTTAACCTTCATCTTCTCGTTGTTTCCAACGATCACATCGTCAATTCTTCATCTATCTTTAATGTGTCAAAATAATTTGTGTTGTTGCGAACGTGCATAGAGGTTTCAGAATCTAACACCCAAGTGTTACTTGCATCAGTACATGTACTCTGCATCAACAACACCACATCTTCATCACACATAACTATCGAGGAATCCACATTCTTCCTATTTTCTTGAAGCTTCATCTTTTCTAATACTCTTCAAATCATCTCGCATCTGGGAACATCTGAAGTGAATGTGACCATTCTCTTTGCAATAATAGCACTCCCTTTCGCTGTCGTTTCGGGCCCGAGATTTTGACCTTTCGAAAAATGTCACATCTCCCCTTACTCTGCCCTCGATTAGAACATTTAAAAGCCAGTGCACTCTAACCTCCATTAGATGTGCTCTCCTTTCCCATTATTCTTTTATTCTCACGTATAAGTGTTATCACATCGTCGAACTTCAAAGTCTGCTTCCCTGCAATTATTGTCTGAACTAACGGCTTGTACGACTTCGGCAAAGAAAACAGTAGGAGTGGTGTCTGCTCTTCTTCTTTAATCTCCTCATCAATATTCATAAGTTGGCAAACTAGCTGATTAAAGGCATTGGTGTGGTCTTGAATTGCGGTACCTTCTTCCATCTTCAATGAATAAAGCTTCATCCTCAAACACAATTGGTTGGTCATCGACTTTGACGCATAAATGCCCTCGAGCCTTTCCCACAGCCCCCTCAGTGTGGTCTCCTGCATAACATTGTATTTGATCTCGGAGGCGAGTGCCAAACGAATTGTGCTAACCGCCCTCTTTTTGCCTGGAACTCCATTCGGCGTCCTTCAACCCTTCAAATTTCTTCTCCTCCAAAGCTTGATCAACAGCCTGCT